CAGATTTTCAATAACACATGAAAATGAATACATAATATTACAAAAGATGTGAGCTTTCAAAAGTACAAGATTTTGGTTACTATTCAAAATATAAGTGTTTCTTCAAAATTTTAAATTTATTTTTTCTAGAACATATTTAGAAACACTATCCTTTATAAAAAATATATAAATTTTATGTATTAATTAAATTTCACATATGAATATAGGTTTTTGACAGTGAGGTTGTTTTTGACGTGACGGTTTAAACCATGGTTTAAACTGTCGAAAACTGTCACATGTCAAAAACCTGCCAACCCTGTTTAGAATAACTACATTAAAAATATGCTATGAAATTAGGAGAATTTCCACTATATACTATATATTTTATTTATTCTTTTTATTTACATTTTAATTTTCTTTGACTTTATCTATTTTTAAATTTTTTCGCCTGCCTTTCTTTTTGAAGTAACGAGGCGGTTTTTATTTAGATAATGAATTTTTATAAAAGTTCTTAACAATAGAATAAACGTATTGCTGTTTTATATTAACTGTGTCATTTCGGAATCCATTATTTACATAGTTGTTCATTTACTTTAGGGAACACGTTTTTCCTTTTGTTTTTTATTCAGAATTTTTGCAAGCTGCAATCGCGCATTTCGATAATAGTTTTAAACTTTTGTTAATTCACTGCAAAAACTGAGGAAAGTCATTATAGAAAATAACAAATGTCTTAGAATATGTCACAAAAAAAAATGCTCCAATATTAGTTAGAGCTAGCAAGGTCGAACACTCCATTCTTGAAGTAAAACTGCGAGCTTTGCGCCAAAGTTACATCACTAGAGAAAATTGGAGGATTGACGCGGCGAGAGTTTCTTCAAAGGAGTGAACCAGCTCTTCTATTCTCTTTAGCCCTGATAAAAGGGTCTGTAATAGAAATCAAGTGGGAACTCATTTTTTCTAGGTAGGAAGCCACTAGTCTTTTTATGTCACTGTTAAGACACAATGTGATCGTGATCATAAATACTATCTTCCATAGCGACAAAAAAAAAAACTGATTGAGAAGATAAAATAGATATGTAATTAAAATATTATAATATACCGGCATATATGGGAAAACAATTACGTTTAGTGCTCCCGCTGGCTTACAATAACTCACTTAAAACTCGTCTCTGCAAGGTTCATTTTGGACAGTTCAAAACAGTAGTAAGGTCAAAACCAGGATTGGGATTTCACAGATAAAACCTATTTAATCTAAGGCAGATGAAGAAATTGGGAGGGGGGGGGGGTTATATTATTCTTAACTGCTTTTATATTATTCAATTTGTTAAAGAATTTCAAAATCCATATAACTTATAATAATCAATTTTGAATTATATTATTTGTATTTTTTTAAGTAAATATCCTCAAGCTATCAACTCCATCCACAAGAAGATGAGATAAATTTGTGAAGGTAATTTATTCTTTAGTTGTGACTTAATGTCAAATTCTGTCAATCATAACGAAATGATACATTAGGTGAAATGTTTAAAATGAATAAGATTTTCAAATTAATTATTTTTTGCTACTAACAGGTTCTGTATTTTGCTAATTATTTAAAAAAAAAGAAAAAAAACCTCTTTGTTATAGCGCTGACATAATCATTTGTCTCTGTTAACTACATTGTAGTTACATGCATTTCGTGTGATGCGGTTTATGAACATTTCTCATTTCAGATGTTTTTTTGTTTGTATTTTTGAATTTCAAAAAGGTTGTAGTGAAACTCAGAAGAAAATTATATTTTATTATGTTCATAACCACCACAATATTTTCATAACTCTTATTATATATATTCAGAGCAGGGAACTACTTTTCTAACTCACTTTGCTCATCCTCTCAAAGAAAATAGTTTTTAATAATATCACGTTAATTTTTAATCCTTAAAAATGAATCAATTATTACATTAAAATTAACAATTGTTCTCTTAAAATTTTAGAATTCTATTCTGATTAAATTTTAACTTAATGATTTTTCTCGATTACCATCTATAATTATTTTTAAAATTTTTTTATAATTTTCAGTAACTATAAAACAATTTTCCAACAAAGAGATTAGTTAGCAATAATGTGAAAAATTAATGCTTATTAATGTGTTAGAATTTTAGTTTTTAAAATGCAAGTAGAATTTCATGTCATTTAATAATTGTAAAACGGTAGATAAATACATAGTCATAAAATTTTGCATAATAAGGTAATATTATGGGATTGCTTCATAATAAAAATTTTTGTTATAAACTTTTTGTAGAAAGAAAAAAAATCAAAAGTTCTCAGTCATTGGCATTAGCAATCAGAGAATTTTTAAAAATATTGGTTAAAAATTTAATTCCTAAATTTTAGGACAATATTTCGTAAAAATGACTTAAATTGTCCTGTTTTTAGACTTTGACAATAATAAGTGAATTAATTAGTTTTTCACTTATGTTTGAGATTAATTAGTTTCATAATCGAAATTCATTAAGTTTTACACAAAAACTTATATATTTTTAATCAAACTTTCCTTTTATTATTAATTTTAAAATAATTATTAACAAAATAAATGACTATTATAAGCGGGGAAGTTATCGACCCCGTGGCAGAATTGCAGCGACACAGCAACTTTGTCGCAGAACAGGGTTGGGTTTTTGACGTCAAAAAGTGGTTTTTGACATGACAAGGGTATAATACTGGNTGTCGCAGAACAATACAGAGCTCTTGCAGAAAGTTTTTTCTTCTGATAAGTAAAAAAAAAAAAAAACTTCTTTTCCATAGATATTTACATGCAATATTTGAATCATGCATCTAGATAATAACTTTTAAGCAATTAGTAAATTGCAAATCGATGTAATGTTTCGATTGTATATTACTGACTGTATTATTATAGATTTTCACTTAGATTTTAAATATCCCAATATAGTTTCGCCGTCAATCGTTTTTTGGCAATTACTAATACGGATTTTATAATATTTAATTACTTTTTTATTGTGATTCAGGGTTGGCAAGTTTTTGATACATGACGGTTTTTACCGTCATGTCAAAAACCCATAGTTTTGGTCAAATAATTTTGAGTATTTGGTAAAATATTTCATAAGTATTTGGTAAAATAATTTTGAATCTTCTCTTATTTTGGACTCATCCATACTAAACTTAGAAATCGACTTTGCAATGAAAAATGCTCAAAATGAGTCACTTGCTATCGTATGCTTCGTATCGTATGCTATCGTATCATACGACCTCGACTGAACATGTAATTTTGTTTGTAATTAAGTTTTGTTTAATGTGCTTTTTCAACTGAATAAAAGTTTTTAACTTGACAAAATAGCAGTAATTCTTGACTTAAGAGATTGTTGGGTACTAGTTACAAGTTTTGTTTAGCTTATTTCTAATATTTAAGTAATGCCAAATTTTAAATTCTTTTTAGTTCTCGAATTTATTAATAGTTCCAAGCTTTTTTGTTTGTTTGTTTATTTCTAACAATTAAGAAGNATTTATTATTTTATTAATATATGCATGCATTTTAAATAAATTACTAAGCTAATTAGCTCATTAACTGAATATATATGTTGATTTATTAATGAAAATAAGTAATTAATGATGGCTTTGCTACTTTTAGTTAAGAAAAAAAAACTGTTACTAATTGACAATGTTTTTTAATAGAACGTGTAAAGAATTCGTGTTTTTAATAGAACGTGAAATTATTGCCTTTTTAGAATAATAATGCCCTTTTTTTAAACGTTTGCACCCTGCCCTTTTTTCTGCCTAGAATGAGCTCTGCATTTACAACATTCATTTATAAAGGCAATTATGTGAAAATAATATATTATCCGCTATATGTCATAAATTAAAGAAAACAGTAGGTTTTTGACAGTTTTTATCCATAAAAGCGCGGTTTTTACCACTGACATGTCAAAAACCAGTTTTTGACGGCAAAAACCTAACCCAGTTGTGATTTTTTACAAAATGCAAAGAAGGAAATACTTTGAATGTTTCCCTCTCCCAACAAAATGTGAGAATATCACCCATAAAATTAGAATAAAAAATTATTACAAGTTCGATTTTTAAAAAAATTATCAAGTTTTTTTTTTTTTAACACAGTGCTTTTGATTATTTAAAATTAGCAGCATATATGTTCATTATTATTAAAAGTATCTTGCAGAACAATAACAGTGCTAGAGCCTTTTGTCGATTATTGCTCGAAAAAAGTCTTAGAAGACTGATATTTTTAACTGCAGAACTACAGTTTAAATTCTATAAACATAACAATTTAAATTGTACAGTCTTAAATGCGAGTTCGATAACATATAATATTTGTAAGTTTAGTACATCTAATCTCCGTTGGTACCAACCTCACGCTTTTCATAACATAGATTTGATTTTATATATTTTCATTTAAATGATAATGTAAGGTTTGAGAATTAAAAAATTTGTGTTGAAAAAAGATGATAAAAATTATTATTAAAATTTGACAACAAAAAAGTTAGCTATAAGAGTCAAATTTAATGATTTTGAAATACCATTTGGACAAATAAAAATAAGCACATTTACGTTTAAAATTGCATATGACAGCTAAATACAGTATTTATGATAACATATATTAGCCTGTTTCTAGCACATGTTTTTACATAATCTATAAGTTTATTAAACTAGATTCCAACAATAAACTGCTTATAATTTTAATTTAATATTGCATTCCTTAAAAATAGTTTCTTTCAGTTTTATTTTTGTCTACAGAAGAAATTTGCAATCTTTGCCTTTCGTAAGGAGGAAACCTTTTTCTACCAAAACACTGCAAGAAAATGAAAAAAAAGGAAGTAACTGAACAAAATGGATGAAATGGAAAAAATTAAAAATAACTAACATAATTATTTAGAAATAAAAATAAGAATAGTTCAGACTTAAAAAAAAATGAAATAAAAAAAAGAAATTAAAAAGGTTCCATTCCTGTTTTTTTAAATTAACTTTTTATCATACTTCAGTTTTAAAAAGAATTTTTAATTTTATATATCATATTAGCAAAGAGTTGGCTTGAGTATTCATTCTTAAAAGTGTTACTTTAAAAAATAAGTATGCTGTTTATTTAATATAAGATAAATATTAGTAGAGTATATCTTTAGTATGTGATTTGTTAACTTAATAGTATTAAAATAAAATTTAATTACCTGTTAACAGTTTTTATAATTATTAAATCAGGTTTCACTATACTTATTTACATAAAATACAGACATTTTACAATTAAATTAATTTGCAAAATTCTTTTTCCTTATAGTTGCTTTTTTATTTTTACTTATTTAAAAATATATTTAAATACCTTTGAAATTCTATTATTTGAACTAGATTGCAATTAAATGCCATTTAATAAGATTAAATTAGTAGTTTATATCTCTTTTTATAAGTTTCTTCTACAGAAATCTATTTCTTCTAAAGTGTTTCTTTCAATCATTTTCTCTACTGTGGAAGAAACTTGCTATCCCTTCTTTAAACAATAAATTTATATAATACATTTAGAAGTATATTAATTAGTTCTTTCGAATATAATTCATACACATTATTTAGTTTTATTTTAATTAGGACTGATTCAACACCTGAATCAAAGAAAAGCAATGCAGTAATATGATGCTCAGAATTGTTCAAATTTTTCTTCCAGTCCAAAGGTACAAAAATTTTAATATGTAAAGTTTGTTGATAATTTTGCTTGCATAAATCTGCAGGTGCACTATTTTTTTCCACACTGGAGAATTATGTACTCAATTTTTGCCTCTCCATCACAATTTTTGTCATATCTGATGTGTTACATAGTGCGTAGCGGAATCACTAATAACTAATCAAAATTATTTCGACAGATCTGTAGAAACAAATAGATATACAACTATAATACATAAAATTATCCAATTATGCACTAATTATATAGATTCACAACATTAATTGTCCAATATATATAAAAATATCATCATCAAAACAAACTATATATAAAATATCACTATCTTTTAAGTGGAAAACTTCTTTAATAATGCATATAGGGCTTAAAACAGCAAATATGGAACAGTTTACTGATCTGTAATGGCATTAAAATAAGGAATCTTCTTATAATGATAAATCCCATACCATACCTTACTAATACAATTTTTTTTAAAGCTATAGAAATGAAAAATATTGATAAATACTAAGCGTATTACGATTATTTAATCTTAATATGTATACAAAAATCAAATGATATTGAACTTTAAATAATTATATGTAACTTAAATTAAAGTCCTTATGTTTATGCCTTTAAATTATAAAAATTTGGGACAGATAAAAGATTTACAAAGCATTTTCAATAATTTGTCATCCGAAAAAGTTCGCAAACTTATTATTTTATTAAAATATTATCGAAAACAAATTTTAACACGGTAGCCGACTACTGGTCTAAAATTATTTGAATTCGTAAAAAAAAATCAATAAACTTTTTAAGAAATGTTGGAAATTGTACAGAAACTTCAAAATTTCAGAAAAGTATAATGGAATTTTTATAGCATTTAAAAAATACTTTTATAATTTATTTAAGTTTTGACATTAAAAATCAAAATTCAGTAAAGAAAGTTACAAATACAGCTTAACCCTTAATAAACACTCGATGCTTTTCTTAAAAAAATATATATCTATTTGTTTAAAATGATCCATTCCATTTGTAACAAGTATAAGATAGCTTATGTTCTGCAAAATCGCTCGGTGATTTTTATAAGTAAAAAATAACTTCGTAAAAAAAGGTAACTGATTAAAAACATTAGAGAAAATAACAAAGTTAAGTTGATTTTGAGTTTTTTGTTTACGATCGCTCGATGTTTTTTTTTCATTTGTATGTAGCTACTACTCGAATGACAGTGACAGATGTAAGTAATGAGTAATAATGTTTTCTTTCATTTATTTTCGGTTTATTTGGTATAAATTTAAAAATAAAAATTCTTATTTATAAAAAATGTTTGCTTTATTAGAATACATCAAGAAAATCGAAATCTAAAACAGTACTGAAGTTAAATGCCGGCACTTGCAGACACTAACACATATCAGCATCACGTGCTAGCCTATAGACTGATTTACGCAGATGAATTTAACAAAGACTGCGCAGCCGCCATGTTATAGAATTTCAGGCCTACAACTTACCCTATTTCAATCACTTTTTCTGAGATGCTATACATTCCATCTGTCCCTCGGAACTGTCTATTATGAAATTTCAAAACTTTAGGAGTAGAAATTCGTGATTATGGTATCCAAAATGTATATTATTTCAGTTTCTGGGAGATTTTAACAGTATTTCGAGAGAACAACGTTTCTCGTCCACATTCCGCAAATGGCTGCCTTACGAATGCGCTACACGGGCATATGCGCATGCGCCGGAACGGACTATATTTTATTGACGGAGATCGTGCAATGTTTGTAAGTATACGCTGTATGAGGAGTTGCAATTATTCGATAGATCAATTAATGAGTACAATTTTTTAATTAATTGATAATTATTGGACGATTGTTGGTAAAATGCCGGGAAAAGACTTAATTACGCTGTTTTTTGACAGTAAGAAGAATGCAAACTGTATTCTTGAAATTGAAAAGGCCCTTTTGGTAAGATAGAATTTTGTTCTAGACTTACTTCAATTTTATAAATGTAAACAATAGCTTCAACTAAAGATCGCAGTTTTTCTTCGTCTAATTACTGTAGATTTTATTAAATACTTCATCTGTAAATTAGTTTTTATTTAAACTGATTACGTTTATTGCTAACTAATTAAAAAAAAAACGGAAAATCATTTAAAATCAAAACAATTATAAAATTTACTTTCATTGATTTTAACTGTCTAAAAGGAGTGTCTTTTATTAAAAAAATAACTGTAATGATTTCCTTATTTAAATCGTATTTTTTTAATGATTCTACAAAACTTAAGTTTGTAATTAGTAAATTTTATAATTATTTATTATTAATATAAAATTTTTACATAAAATATAATATTATATAGTATAATTATTATATATTATAATTAATATATAATATAAAATTATTTATTATTAAATAAAAAAATCATTAGTTATTTTTTTTATTAAAAAACACTCTTTTTATGTTGTAATTATTACTAAAATGAAATAATAATACATTTCAAACCATTTTACTGCATAAAATTTGTTTTATATTTATACATAATCTATGTAAGTGCATGATTCAAATTGGTTGATTAACTTCTGAAAAATAGACTAAAGTTGAGAAATAATTTTCGCAGAATTTTTTTTTTCTTTTGTAACATTTTCAATTATATGATAATGTTGTTTAATACTTTAATTACAGGTTGACAGTTATTTATATTCAAAATTACTTAATTAGTCAGAAAGGTAACCTATAAGAAGGAGAGGTATATAAATTGTGACATAAAAGAAATAAAATCAATATTTAGATTGATAATAATAAACAACTAATAGTTATTACCTCTGATATAAACTGAAAAGTAGTTCTAATACAGCAAATAATATTGATCTTTAAGTATTAAGAGTGCCGTGTTTTAGAAAAACCAATTAATAGTCTCAACATTTTCAGCTATATTTTTTATACATTGTGTCATATAAATCAAAAGTATAGAAGTATATAATGCATGTTTTGTGTATGATTTACTGTCAAATATCATGGCACCAGTGATCAAAATTGAACTTTTAAGTCAGATTTGGACAGTTTCTGACAATTTTCGATGTGTCATGTCAAAAGCCTGTTTTTGACTTTAAAATTGAAAAATATAAAATTTATTTCTAAACTTAATATAAATTATGACCAAACCATATTTTTAATAAAAATATATTTACTTGTTCATTCGAAAAAATTTCTTGCAGAGGCCTGTACTTTTATTTCATTTAACTTTATATAAAGGGACGGGAAGGGTAAGGAAGACAGAAGGGGATTGTAGCGTATCTACCACTTCAAAATTACTACTACAATTCACTAGTATATAAGACATGTTAACTCGACTCTATGTTGGGGTACCTTTTCATAGATGACAGTTGACATGGTCAATAACTACTCTCCCCACAATTGGTGACCTTCGGACGTGATGTGAACACGCCTACCTTGGCAGTAACGCCCACTTCGATATGAACACGCCTACCTAGACAGTGACGCCTGCTTCGATGGATGATCCACATTGAAAAGTTGACTTGCGGCTTGTGACTGCGACATTGTCCGCCTCCTCACACTGTTGCTACTCAGTCTTGTCTCGATCACGCACAACGTCGGCTTGCATACACTCGACTGCTAACGGCAACACAGGAGCGACTACGACCGTGAAGTTAATACACCTCTCACATTTCAGCACTCAAAATATATACGGTGATCTTAATACAGCTCTCCCGGCTTCTCACAAAGCAGCAATGAATCAACTAGTGGTATTCGTTCATCGAATTCTATCACAGATATAATTCTAGTGGGGGAATACTGTAGCGTATCTACCACTTCAAAATTACTACTACAATTCACTAGTATATAAGACATGTTAACTCGACTCTATGTTGGGGTACCTTTTCATAGATGATAGTTGACATGGTCGATAACTACTCTTCCCACAGGGATGTTAAAATATATCAATATTGGTTTCTGAATCATTAGTTATTTCTATGTTTTGTTTGTATCTGAATTTTATGACCTATTACTTTTCTTCCTGTTTATGAAGATGAATACACTTTATTATTTACTTTTTCAGTCAGAAGATGAAAACTGTATTTTAGAAAGCATAGAAATAGTTAAAGAATTAGTTACTCAGATATTTGAAAGAAAAATGTTACAGGAGTCTTTTGGGAAAGGTGAGGCATTTTGAATACATATATCTAAGTGCATATGTTATTATTCAGATATCATTTTAATTTGTATGTGAAGCATTAAATGAAACTAATGAACACTGAATAATCATGGGAAATTCAATCTCGTATACGGTGGAACCCCAATTATCTCACGCCCCTTTGGTGTTGGCACAAGTATTGATATCAACAATGTTAGTAGTAGTCTACTCTGCCTCATGCCAAAGCTGAAGATATGCTAACTAAATGCATTGAGTAGTTTAAAAATCAAGATTGAGCTGGTGATGATGATTTAATGTTTGTTCTAGCATCCAACAATTCCCAATGTTGGGAAATTGATTTTTAATGTAGGTAATATTTTGTACCCTGTGATTTCTAGAATCCATGCATACCTATTTCTTGTCTAAACTTGTTCTATTGCCCCTACTAGTTAAACCACTTTCCACATGTTTGTCTCTTTGCATCTATCATTGGCACCAAGGAACTTTCTATCCTTTAGACAACGAGGAACGATATTTGTTTATAGAACCTAAACAATAGTTTGTCTGCTTCTGTATTTTCATTTGTTCTTTATTCATGTTTTTTTGCTTTAGTCTACATAGCAAGTATACCCTATCTTTTTTCGAAGCTGATGTCACCCAATTATTATTGTTAAAGGTAAATCTGAAATATGACTTCTAAAAAAGACATTAAGCATAAAGTAAAAATGTATCACTGTTTTTTTTTTCCATGATACTATTGTAACATAATTTATGATTGAAAAAAATAAAAGTGTTTTTGGAAGCTTTATTAATTTAATAATGCTGACATTAAGTTTAAGAAATCAAACATTTATTTTTCTCACAGTTTCAGATGCCTGACCCTATTGTAATGTAAGATAGGTGACTGCAAACTATGAAATAATTCTATAAGTTTAATCCATGGAATAGTAGAAAGTTTGATTATATCCCCATAATTTTTAGTATTGTGCATGATGGAACTTGCAAGAAATAAATATGTTTCCCCTGTTCTGCTCATTTATAAAATTCTAGACAATATTGTTCAAAAATAATGTGAATATTTATTGCTCTACCCAATGCTAGAGTGCATTATGAACTTAAAAACACAGCTTTTTTAGGAAAATAATTTATTTCATCCTTCTGCTCCAATAATCCTGCTCATTTTCCGGTTGTTATACAGATTTTCTCATAATGTACTTTAACAATTCTTTTGGTTTGTAAACCAATCTCTCCCGCTATGTCAATTTAGGTGGTATAAATTTCCAAAATGTTTTGTTGATATGCGTTTCATTCATTATTTTCCCCCCATTAAATTTTGAAAAATCATTGAATGGGCATTTGCTCCAAAAATGAATTTGTACTGTTACTATAAATGGTCCTAAGGCGACTGTGTCTAGCAGTAAATCATCTGAAAGTAAGGCAGAAAGCATCTGTAGACTTAGGATTTACAAGTTCATGGAAAATAGCAGCTCTATCCACACCCAAATAAATTCCAATAATTTTGGATTTTGCTCAATCAGTGACTCAGTCTATTTGCAAAAGTGAAGGTTCTCTTGTCAAATCTTTAGCTTAAAATCACTTGCAAATAGTACAGTTGAAGAGAAATGCTTTCCTAGTCTTAATTATCTAAAACCTTTCTCTTAATATAATTTGCATTATTTGAATTCATGCATGGCAATTTTTACCATGGAAATTTTAAATCACTAACTCAGTAAATCCAAATTTTTCAGGTAATAATATGCGATTTAAAAATTTTTATCATCTCGGTTAAGTATTTTTATTTTTACAAGCAGAATACCTTTATCATTTATAAGAGTTTTGATATAATTTATTCTCAAAGTTTTCAATTTTAGACGATATTAGTTTAAAGATTTTACTTTCCTCGTAACCGACTTTGCAGTTATTTGCAAATCTATAAACTCATGCAAAAAATTCTAATCATTTTATCGTAAATTGTTTTATAGTTTAGAACACAAGGAAGTGGTGTACTTTCATAGATCAACTTTCTCTATTTTTGTCTTCTTCCTGTGCAGAAGAGCAGGGTATTTCACCAATAGGACATCTTTCCGGGCCTCTTACTAACCATGAGGTGCCTTTCCATTGAGATGGAATCATTTACTTTGCCAAACATCCACACGATAAAAAAAATTCAGCAATATTGATTTTACCAGGAACACATTTCTGAGGCTGGCCTCGTCTTAACACCCAGTTTTTTTTAAACCTATTTTCAACACAAGCAAACCAAAGACCTTGCTCTTTTATTCACCAAAGAGCTGTTGTAGAATTAAACCGAAATGTTACTTTTAAGTCTGGCAATATAAAAGCTTAATGGAATTCATTAGAGTAGAACGTATACATCACGGCATTAATTCCAATTTCGTATCAATGTCCGTTATATCTAACTATGATTAAACAGAATTTCCTGTCAGTAATTTCCCTACAATTTTTGCACCAATAATTCAATTTATGTTTCTCTTTCAAAGGAATCAGTAAAATATATTTAGTTTTATAAATTCATTTGAAATAAATTCTTAATTTAAAGAACAAAACCACAAATAATTTTTAGAGAAAACTTCAAAACTGCAAGCGAAGGTCTGCCTTTAGTTAATTACTTCAATTGAGAACATGTCATGTTCATTAGGTTTTGTTTCACTCCTCCCAAAGGACATGTGTGTAACTGTTTCATTTATAAGCAGCGAGACTCCAATTTGAATCATAATATTTTTACTGGCGTAACTACTTTGAGATCCAGAATCCATAGTGCAGCGAATAATTTTTTCACGACTTTGATACTGAATAACAATGTAAAGAGTCTGTAAATATACTATTTCGCCTTCTCAGCAATTAGAAAGTTATTGGTCTTTTGAAACAATTTTTAGCTCATTCTCTTTTGGTTTAGTACAAATATCAATGTTATTATTTTTACATTGAGAACAAGTTAATTCACTTTTAATGTTACAAAGCTTATGTGACCAGATTTTTTAAACAAGAAAAATATGCACCATTTTTTTTTAATAATAATTGCTGTTTATCTTCCAATGGCATATTTTTTTTTGACAAAGCATTTCACTGCAGTGTAATTTGTCACAAAAAAAAAAATTATACGCAGTGTTTTCATTACAGAATAAAAATGGGTGAGAATTTCTCACCCTTTCTCAAAAACAGGGTGAGATTTCAAAAAATTACGTGAGATTTCTAAAAATAAAAAACAAAAATAGACTTGGGAAAAAAATATTTCGTTAATTATAATAAATTTTTAAAGCATTAAATATTTTTGCTGCATCATTATATGGAAAAGTTCTATATCTACTTTTTCATCAGCTATTCTCATTAGGTTGCTCAAATGCTTATCAGTCAATCTGTTACGATATTTTGTCTTCATCCGGTTTTGGGTGGTAAATGACCTTGCAACAGATGCTGAATTATTCGGAATCACTAATTAAATTTGTAGCATTGTGCACACACTTTCCTATCCTCTACATCTGCCAGCATAGGTTCTTCACTTATTTCTGTTATGGAATAGTGAAGTTCGTTGAAGTTNGTCTTCATCCGGTTTTGGGTGCTAAATGACCTTGCAACAGATGCTAAATTATTCGAAAACAGTCGTTGAACAGTCGACTCAATTTCGAGTTTACGACTACTAATATTCAACTCCGTAGCCTTGTAATTTTGAATCCAATCTAGCAGTCCCTGGAGCAGATGAGGACCGTTATATTAATACTGTTTGTATAAATAAAAAGAACATTTCGTAAGCTGATATTATTTAATTGATGTTTATATTGAAAATATTTCTTCATTATTTTTGCTTTCTATTTAATTATTTTAAGTACATTTGCTAAATTTTTGTGCAAGAAATTTTTTTTCATTATTTATGTACATTTTTGACTTATATTTTTAAGGATTTATTAAAGGGTCTATTAAANTAGCGTCAAACTAATGAAAGCTTTATATCAATTAGCAATTAGTTTTAGATAATTACAATTGTAGAATAATTATCTTATTATAGAATGAAATGTTTTAAAAGACAAATATCTGTTAATTTTTAACTAATCAACGAAATCATCGAGAAAAAAAGGAACCAATATTGAAATCTAACGAATTTATTATTTTTAATTACTGATAAAGTTTGTGACAGAAAAAACAATTTAAAGCCTGATAGATTTCAGAATTTTAGAAACACCTTCTAGTTATACTATTACAATCAAATAGGTTTCGATGTCTTTCATCCCGGTCTCATTAATGATTCAGTATATTTCCATATCATTTTTGTTTCGTTCTTACTTAATATTAATTTGTTTGCGACAGTTAATTTGTATACCTCTTTTACCATTTCAAGGAGTTTAAAAATATAATATTGAGGATTTTAACTTTTTTGTATGCCTCTTTTATTACGTCATCATCACACCCACACGTAACTGTCTACACTAAATATTGCTATGTAGAATGAGATAGTAAAATAAACGTGTGTAGTTATTTAAATTCTTATTCAAAAGTATTAGTTAATTTTTTTTTTTTTTTACTGACAATTTCTGTACTTTTTTAGATATTTTAAAGTGCTATTTAAAACTGCTGCATATCACATGAAAGCATTAAATATATCATTTGTACAATTTTAAAGTAAAATAAAAGGGAATTCTGATCCTTAGAAACAGATATTAAATAGTCTGATGATCGAATGATGGGGCAAAAAAAAACTTTTTTACCTTTTAAACTAAAAAATTGTTTATTTGTAAATAATTTATTAATACTCAAATTGCTTGAAAGATGATATGTTCCCTTCTAATGACAACAAAGGTTTTTGTTTTATTCAGTCATTTATTTATATTTATTATGTCCGACAATGTAAAAAAGGGGAAAAAATGCATTTTTGGTTTCTGAGGGCCCCCAGCTCCAATTAAACCTTAAAAAAAAGAGGGGGGAAAGTAGGATCTGAGGGGCCCCAAGCTACAGCTTATTTAGCTTATACGTAAATCCGGCCCTGTTGAAACTATAAGTAAATTAACTAAGATAGTTATATGCTGAATTGTAGTACTAAAACTTTTTTACCTGAATATAATTCACCCTACAATGGGGAAGAAATTGTGAAGAAACCTCTATAATTTGACGAAAAACTTTTCTAAATGCTTTTATTTGCATAATTGTTTTCTTTCTTGAAAGCCCATTTGAAATGTTTAACAGCTTGCAGATTTATGAATTTTTTATTAATAAAACTTATACATTTAACTTCTTTAAAATTTCCATTGTTTTCCTCTTTATTAACAACTATTAAGGTGCTTTAAGGTGATAAAATATCATAATCGCAATTTAAAAATAGACTAATCTACTTAATCTACCAGAACTGCTTTCAAACTTTGCATGTTAGCAAAATTCCTTCAATTTGCTAGTGTTGGCAAATTACAATGAAAAAAAAAAATTTATATGAAGAAAAGTTAAGATTATAAATTTAAAATTATATCTTTCAAGTTCCAAAACCATGTTTTACTTGTCTAAAAACTCTCGGCAAATTGCCCTGGCGCGTTCTGGTCCCACTTTATCCTTGGTTATATGATGACAGTAACCTGACTTAAGAAAGGATGATATATCGAGATAACAGAAAAGACGCATGGCCTTTAAGCTTGCAACCCTCTTTGTTCTATTGATTAAAAAGTTATAAAATATATTTGAACCCTCTATCAAAACTTTGTGGGAAGTATCAAGTCTCATTGGAACATCAGTATGTGAAACTTAACTGCTTAATTTGTAGACAGTTGATATATAATGCAAAGTTTTGTAAAATTAACTTTTGTTTTTGTAGATACAAGTGAAGAAAAATTTAAAGATTGGCTACTAGCCAGATATGCTGATTTTGTTAGCCATTTGCTTGCTTATTTATCTCAATCCGAGAAAGAAATTCAGGTTTGTCAAGTAGGATCCGTAAATATCAATTATTATATTATGAAATCTAGATTTTTTTGTTTATTGAAATTTTCTATTTTAGATCAAATCACTTGAAGTTCTTTTAAAATTTATCACATTAGAAGCAAAATATCCACTGGCTAATGTTGAACAAGAAGATTGGTTCTTTCCAAAATTATTATTTAAGGTTGCTTATTTAAAATTTTCTTTATATTTTTTAAGCTATTACTAATAAATTTTAAAATTATTTCCTTAATGTTTTTTTTTCCTTCCAGAAAATAATCGCTGTATTTGTTTCTGAGGATCTTGACCAATGTGAAACGATTAAGCATTTCAAACAGTACTCATCATACGTTGATATTAAATTTTATACTTTACAAGCTGTTGCCAATATCTTATATCAAAAAGAAAAGGTTTGTGCATTTATTAGAAATAGTTCCTATTGCTGTTATAAGCAATGTGGATGAGTTTAAGAATTTTTTAATTAGTATTTATATATATGTAGTATTGTAGTAATTGTAGTTGCAATGCATTAGTCAACATCTAGTATTAGTTGAATATTTTAGTTGATTTTCTATTTTATGTGTAACTCTCCATGCTGTTTCTTATTTATTTTTAAATATAAGAAACCTTTAATTAAATTTTAAAAGAATATAACTGAGGAGTAGGACTGGGCAATATAAGAAATTCTATATTGTGATGCATCGTCAGTTTTGCATCGCGATATAGTATTTTTGAAATTCATTTACTTGTAAGGCGTAGAAAGTCGGATTTCTGTCAAAACTTCGTACTCAGATTGATTTAAATCAATTTATGAATTTGATATATATGTTTAGCTTAAGAAAGATATTAATATTTTCTAAAAATGATCGCGCAAATAACGAAAGATTTCTTAGTTTAAAAATAAATAATAAAAAAATTAATAAAATTGAAATTTGTCAATATATTTACCTAACAATATTGAAAGACAATTAAGAAACACGATTATGCTCTTTAATAAAACGAAGTACTAAGTGATTTTAAAAAAAGAAGTCGCAATCGCAAACATTACAAATTTTTTTGAATAAACGAAGTTGATTGACTTATGTCCAAATCCAAAAGAGGAAAAATAGGTTTTGTTATAATTTTGATATATATAATTTTATTTATAAAAATGAAAACAACTAAAGATTTATAAATTTAAAATCAGTAATAAAAACCCATTAAATTATTATTTTATCCAAAAAGTTTTTAATAAATTAAAATAAAGTAAAAAATAGCCTAACAAATTTAATTACTTTTTAATTTAATTCTTTATGGGCACCTTAAATTAGATTTCCGTTTGTAATAAATTCAATAATGTAAAATAATACTTAAACATATAATATCAAAATTAATTTTCACATTTAAAAATAAAAAAGAAAGTTTTGTTTCAAAAAAAAATTTACCTAATTAATTAAGAAACATTTCTTTATATATTCTTTTCAATAATAGATTATGTTCAGAACAAGGTAATGACGGCGATCACAAAGTCAGTCCCACTGAAAATAATCTACAAGAAGCGATATCAAGTCGCGACAAAGAAGAAAGAAAAAAAACTAAGAGGTGCGGAAACAAACATGCGAGATCACGATATATGTTCTCAAAACTGATTCTGGTTCTACCACTCATCAATCAAAGCCGTTTCGATATAACGATACGAACATCGTCTTCCCCAGCGCGGGTTGGCATCGGAACGTAAGAGATCCTTGCGTGTCTTGTATCGCTATATTGTTCGTCGTCTTTACTCGATGGCTTAAATCAGATTTCTGGTGCATCCCTTAGAACGAAAATCACTGTATCGGCCTGTTGATACAGGTGTTAAATCGATATGTCACGATATATCGATTTATAGCCCAGTCCTACTGAGGAGCTAAAGAAATTTTGAGTTTTTTTTTTTAAATGTTGGAGATTCCTTTGATATTTTCTTTTGAAGAATAGTAAAGTATTTGAGCAATCTATGACATGTTTTTCGTTAATAATATGTTAATGACTGAAATGACACTAAGATCTTTAACTTTGAAAAGTAATGAGAGGTATTTCCTTGTTTTAATGATTCTTTTAAACTTCTAGAACATTAAGTTAGCATATAATTACAAACATATAATAATGAATACTAATATGTTTTGCAAAATATTTTCATCTAAAGTACCACTGAAATAAATATGAAAGCTTACTAAGAAAAGAACTTAGATTTTAAATCATGAAAGCAAACTTTAATCACAAGTGATGCTAACTCTAAATTCAAGAGTTGCAACAGACATATTTTAAACATCAGCGTGACAATTTCTCATCATTATAATATGCCTAATGATTATTTTCTTGTGTTTTCAACTTTCTTTGCAAAGGTAACTGAATGAAAAAGCTTATTAAAGAAGCTTATCTCATTTAGTCAATTTTATACTTTTTCAATTTTGTAAATTAATGTTGAATGTCATAAAGTCAACTATAAAATTACTTTAGGAGATTTTTACCTGAAATCTATTTTATATTTATTTGAAAGCAAACAACAAAGTCATAATTTTAGATATAAGTGTTAAAAACATATTTTTTTAATGATAGCATTCATGTGGAATTTTAAATTTTCTTCTCCGCTATTTTGAATAACATTAATTTATTTCCGAAACCTGTAAATTCACAAATCAAAACAGAATTCAGAAGGGAATGTTATCAAAATCTATCGGATAAAGTAATGTGGAACTAAAAATCATTTAAAAATTCATTGTGTAAGGAAACAAAATTTTATCATACTGATTATTATTTATTACAAAATTTTTATAACATTTAAGCAGCTATCAATTTCAAATTTTGAATAAGAATCATGCCACAAAATATTCAATTTAAGGAAACATCTTTGATATGAATATGCACTAAGGTTTTACAAAAACTTGTACATTTCACGCATACTAATGAAAGTATCTAATGATTTTTATTCTCATATTGTAAAGGAGTTTTAAAAAGGTATAGTGATTAACTAGAGTTATGATAAAAGTGTTTATTTGTTAAAATGTTGTAAAAAAATATGTGATTAGTTTGCTGGTAATCTTAGTAGTTACTTAAAAAAAAAAATTATACTTTTGAAACCAAATCGGCAAGTGTATTTTAGAATGTACTTTTCATTTGCAATATAATTTACGAACATATTTACTTTCTGCAGGTAAATGATATTTTTCTATCAAATTGTTTTCATCTGTTAACATTATGTTGTCCGTCATCAGAAGATTCAACAACTCTACTTTCTACAGAAGGTAAAAAGTTTGTCAAAATCAAAATCTAACTTACTTCATTGGGACAAATGAGTCAATGCATTCTGTACAAATGAATATATGATTCGTCCATCCTAAAGAGGTTAAATGTTTTGCTGTATTTAGAAGTGGTTTTAAGTAGTGTGCTACAATTTTCAAAATAACTTGTAGTTCCTACTTTTTTTTCATATTTTGTAATCTAGTATGCTACTTTCTGAAGAAAAAAAAGTAATATAGTGTAATTATGCAATAAAAAAACAGTAATTTGTAGTGATTATGGCAATTACTTTTAATATAACTTTATAAAAAAATAAAAAAGTTCAAACGTAACTGAATTTTTCGAGTCTGGTTGATATGTATCTCTGGGGACTTGTCAGTGGACACAACAAGAATGCCTTTGTGGCCAAGCATTTATGAGAATATGTATTAATATGTTAACTAGTCATTGTGGATAATAGCTAATTTATCAATTTAGCTACATTTTTATCTTCACTTTTAGGAAACATTGGTTTTATTTCAATTGAGGGGAAGATTTTCTCTTTGTACTTTTCCTTGCAGTAATAAAAGAACGGTAAACACTTAACAAAATTGCAAATGCTTAATAATTCTAGCATTTCTTAAATTTAATATTTACTGTCTACAAAGGGCTAAAAAAATTTATGTTTAAGGAGCAAATTAATTAACAATGATTAAGAATAACATACTAGTTTAAAAATTTGATTTTTTTTTTTTTTTTTTTTTTATATTAAAAATTTTTGAATATGGGGGTAAATGTAAGTTTTCCAGCAATGTTGTTGTCTAAAAGTAACTGCATTTCAAAGTAGATTGTAGTCCTTACATTAAAAAAAAATAGTTTTAGTTAACTACATTTGTAATAAAGTAGTTAGTTGTAGTTAACTACAAAAGTAATATAGTTTACCCACCACTGACACTTGCTGTATCTGTGCATATATGTATGAAAATTGAGTGAATTCTGTTTTACTGGCAATGAGCAATGTATCAAATAAATAAAAAAATACCAAAATTATAAAAGGTCCTTTTTTTCCAGATTTGTGTAGCCGCATACTCATTTCTTTGTATTTTTTTTTCTTTTTCCCGCTTAAGCCTTTGTATACAATTAATATTAATGTAGTTTTTTTTTTTTAATTTTATTAAGAATGCTTGAATGCAGCTGTAGGGAGAAAAAGCACCACATAGATTTTTTTTTTAACCACTAGGTATTGTTGCTACTGGTAACTAAAAAGAGAACATCTGTCACTTTTTTTTATCTTGGACTACTATGGCAACTTTTTTTAGTTAAAAGGCATCTATTTTTTTTTAAAAAAATGTGCAATTTTTCCAACATCTAAGTGGATATCTACAAATATATTGTGGTATTGTGAAATGTGTGTAAGTTGACCACTTGTGGTGCTTTGTTATGGAGGTCCACTTGTAGAGGGAGAACAGTCGTTGTGTTTTTGTTTATTTTAACATAGCATATATTATTTTTATGTTTACCATATTATTCAAATATTTTTTACGTATTATCAATAAATTGAAAATGTAATTAAACTAAATGCAATTTAACATGACTTTAAAGTTTGCTATTTGTCAAATATTCCATGAATCTTATAATATGAGATTAGTTACAGAATGAATCACAATTTATTACATAAATTTAAACTGAATTAATTTAAGAAATAGATTTGTAATTTTGTTCGTAATTGTAAATACAATGTGTGGTTTGTAGCCTAAAGCAATGTATAATTTAATTACCATATTTTTAAAGTTCTTTATATAATTATAAAATAATAAAGTTTCACTTTACTCCTTTATGTAAAACATTGAAAGATATTTTTTTAACTATAAAAATTTATCTTAAATTTACTTTTTATTTTAATCAAGATAGTTATGAAAAGTATTTTGATTTTGGAGCATGATTGAGTTTGTAGTTGAATAAAAAAAAAAGTAGCGTGTTAGAAATAAAGTTTTGATTTTCTTCTAAATATGAGACTAATCTTGCTATGTTATAAGTTATTGTATTTCGCAGGTGTGCCGTGGAAATATTTTTCTTGTTGATATATTTTAATAATTATTCAAAAGGCTACTTCATGAAAAAAGGAAAAATAATTACTTTTCTGACAAGACTATTTCAGCTACTATTTTTTTTATTATTTAATGGTACTAAAACAACCGTTTTCGTGGATAATTGTAGTAGGAACCTTATTTAAGTTATAGTATCTGTTGGAGACAGTTTTAGCATATTAGTTACTTTTTGTCCAGTAATTAAATAAATTTATAAACCATGGATTTTTGCTATTTTAATTTTATGATACATATTTTTTAAATTTAGTTTTGACTTTCAAATATGTAACTTAAAAGAAACTAGTATGTATGTATATATATATCCTGGTTATTCTCTTTCTTTCCTGTACAATTGTTTGAAATGCATCTTTTTTTTCTAGGAATTGAAAAGCCTTTTGTCTTAAAAGGAAAGTGTTTCTCAAAACTCTTTTCAAATGTTTGGGAAACTTTTCTAAAATGTGAGGTAAGGTGGTGTTTCAGGTGCTTGAATGATTAATTTGTTTTTAAAATATTATTTATACTCTAAGTCCTTTTCAAATATTGTTTCAGCTTCCACCATCTCTTTTAAAAAAGGTTCTTGTATTCTTACCAAAGAAAGTTATGAAACATTTTTCAAATCCGTACTTATTGACAGATTTTTTTACTGAATTGTATAGCAGAGGTAAGTAGCTTTTTAAGCTAAAAAAATGAAATCATTTTATTCTTGAAACTTAGAAAGTATACTATTTTGTTTCTTATTTAGTGATTTATTTAGACCCACATTATTATTGTGTGCCTAGTTAGCGTTTTTGTTGTGATTTAAATTAATGGGTAATTTGGGTATGGTTATGGAATCTTTTTTTTTTAATCCAAAAGGTTAACATGTTTGCAGAATAAATTCTATAGATAAAAACAAAGAAAGTAAGTTTTGTATCATACTTATAATTGAAAACATATTTGTGACATTTAAATTTTATTTTCACACAACTAATTTAAGAATAATAATTTTCAATGAATAAAGTAATAAAATATACCATTTTTTTTAAAGCTGTTTTTATTTATTATTTTCCAAGAATGTTCCCAGTCAGTGTTAAAAAATTGCAATCTCAATACTTTTTAAGTATTTAAATATCTTTCCAGAAAGCTACAGTGCTTAAATTTCTACCAAATCTCTGAGTAAATTTAAGTTGTTACTTAACTGTTGCAAACAAATTTTGCCTAACAGAGAACCAAGCAAGAGAAAATAATTCAATTTTTATTGCACCTGAAACTTTGAAGCTTTTATAATAAACTTTTATCGCCGCTGAAAAATTATCTATGTATTTTGAAGATGATGTGCTTATACACTTTTAATTTTATTTCCAACAAAATATTTGAATTATTGGCTGCTTTTTGACACACAAAAAATTTCTTACATATTTATTTATACATATAATTTATTTCGTTGACTATTTTAAGATTTCAACAACAAATTTCGATATTTTTAAATCATGCAAATCTTTTGTTAACTTTTATTCATAATGATTATATGAGCAATAAATTGTTTGTTTTTTTTCCTCTCTCTTTCACACACCTGTAAAACCCTATGTTTCATGTCTGTACAAAAAAATAGTGGTCAGGTTTGTTTTTATCATTTATTTTATTTTTAAATGACTAATTTTTCTCTGCAATCTAAACCATATTAAGAGAATTATTACTTAAGCTCAGATCTATATTAAAAATAAATATTAACTTAATTCCAGAATTCTTTATTATTTTTTAATTAAAAAAAAAAAACAAAACAGTTGTGAGTTTTTTCCTCTTTGAGACTTGAAGATGACATGAAAGAACTAAAAACATTAGAGGTTTATTAAATTGACAAATTTGAACAAACTAATTTAGAAGTGTCTTTTCTTCTTCCCTTAAATTTTTTGTTACACTATGATCCTGATTACATCTTGTACATAATGTGATATGTCTTGATTAAATCCTTTATTTCACATTTATGACTATCATTTGCTAATCATAGGTGGTCTAACAAGTTTGTTGGCTCTAAGTGGATTATTTGAATTAATGCAAAAATACAATGTGTAAGTATTTTTTTTATTATTTTGTGTTTTTTGTTGTTTATTTCTATTTTAGTAAATATTAAAAAAAAATTATTTTTTTTTACAGAGAGTATCCTGATTTTTACATAAAATTATATTCTTTATTTGATGTGAATATTCTGAATAGCAAATTCAACTCAAGATTTTTTTATTTGTCAGATCTCTTTTTGTCTTCTACGTAAGTGTGATTTTCTGTATTACATTTTATTATTGGTGAAGATTGACCATTTATCTCTGTTTTAAATTTTTTTGTTGTAACATAATTTTTAAAATAATAAAGCTGTTTATGTACTTGCATGCATTGATTATTTGTGTAATTATATGTATTGTACTTTTGAGAAGTTTATGCCAAATCTTGCTTCACACCATTTTTGAACGAGCGTGTTTGAAAAATATTATGTGAACTTATTATGTTTTAGAATATTTAAATATGTAATTGGCAAATGATTATATTTTAATAATGATAGAAAAGAGAAATTTGACTCATTAAAAAACTTGTTCAATGAGTTCCTGCACATTAAATTAATTTTGTGTTATGTTTGGTGAGTGGTAATCTTAAACCAGATATGGTATTAATAGATTTTTCTTTAGAAAACTCTTTTGGGGGCCCATTTTTACATTTCATAAATTTTTTTAGCATGGCACAAGATGTACTATGTGCAAAATAAAAAACAGATCACCCAGAATAACTTTTGATCTGATGTTTGAATCTTCGCGTTCTTGGGCTCAATCTTAATGACTTAAGGAAGCAACTCCAAATATGCTAATAATTAATTAGTGCAGATGTTATTTTAACTTAATCAGACACAAAAATATACTTTCTCTAAATAAACTTGCATTTTTTTTCTTGGCAAATTTGGATTTCTTACCCTCAAAATATGGTGCTGAAAATTAGCTCAGGTCAGCAGCCCACAGTTTGAACCTCTTAATGTCAATTTTACCTTTTGCATATTTCGCCATGTCTCAAGAACTTTTTAATCTAATTGAAGCATTTTTACACTCAATTTTAAATTGTTTAACCAAAGACAATTCCATGCTAAAAATAGCTTTTAGTAAGTTTTATTTAATAATATTCCGAAAATTTTTTAACATCATTTCAAAGAATGTAATTTTACATAGCAAAATACAAAATGTGTGCAATAGTTTGGATTTAAAAATAATGACAATGAATGCTCGTTTCAAAATCCCTTTTGGTTCTTCAAAGTCTTTTTATAATAAATGAGTTTATAATTTTATTACTATTATTTCTATAATAATATTTTTAATAATAAAAATGTTTATTTTTAGCCATTTACCTGCATACCTGGTAGCTGCATTTGTCAAGAGACTCTCTAGAATCTCTTTAGCAGCAAGAACAGAGTGTGTATTAAAAATTATACCTCTCATTGTTAATTTGTTAATCCGTCATCCTGCATTAACTGTTTTGATACACAGAACTGATATTAAAGGTAAATTGACTTTATTTTGTTTAGAAAGTGGAAATATTTTATAAAAGCTTTTTAAGCGATAATTGCACTTGTTTAGTTTTTTCTGATTTTATTGCAAAAATAGTATTGAGGAAAGAACCCCTTTTAAGTGTGTTTTAGATTTACTTATTCTAAATTATTCAGCTTATCCAGTGCTCATAACAGTATTTTTTCCCCCTTTATTTATTTATTTTTTTTCTGTTTCACAATGGTTTTTATCTTTGAATTGAAATATTGAAAATTATGATACAATGTGAGAAATGAATTTCCCTTTTAAACAAAACAAAATATGTATTTGTCAGCTATCTCAACACCATTATTTTCTAAAATTAAATTTTTTCTTTAACCATTGGAATTACACCTCTTAATATTTTTTATTAAAAAATTGCATGTCCTGCCATTTTTCTCAACATATTTTACATGCAGAAGAAACATTTCACTAACTGTTAAAGATAATAAACTGTATAAGAGGAGTGCAAACCTTATCTCTTTGTTCCTATTTCCACACTCGAGCTGAGAACACACTCTAAAATTTTCCCTTTTTGGAAATTGAGAAAAACTTTTCTGACATTAATTTTTTAAGTTTCTTAGAATTAAAAATCTTTAGTGACAGTACCAAAAAAAACGTAAGAGAAATTTCAAAAATATCAGAAAATTCATTTTTATCAAAGAAACTTTCATTCGACAAAAATTTTTCCTGTTAAAAAAAAAACTTTTTCTTTTAAGAGAGTTAAAATGAAATTGTTAAAACCATTCTTCTCTCGACAAAAAATTTTAAAAACCGGACATGTGATTCTTCCGCCAATCTTAGCCCTTTGATTTTTAGTGACATTCCGCTTCTCAGTAATTTATTTTCTAACACAATTATCTCAGAGATCCACCAATCTAAACTTTAATTTTGTTACTTATGCAAAATCTCGTGAGCGAGGCATTTATTCCACCCTTACCAGCACCCTTTTTTTTTTTTTCTAAACTCTCATTCTCGCACAATAACGACTTCTTCTTTTTTTTTTTGCAGAGTTGTCAGACCTGCTTGGGGGGAAAAAATTTACTATAACATTGTCTAGAATTAATGAACTACTGTGGCAAACAAGAAAGTATAAAATTGATAACATTAAAAGCAATTCTGAAATGGCAAAAATTTAAATGATTGTTCACTAGAAAAAAATTGTGTTTTTCTCATTTTTTTTTTAAACTTATCTTTTAATTAGTAGCAATTTTGTTAAAAATTCCAATTTGTAACAGAATAATTATTTAATCATTTTTCCTCTTTTTTATTCGGCTGCAACTAGATCGAATTAATTTCTAATGTGATTATACGGCATTGAAATCTCAAATCAATTATTTCATTAATCACTTTTCAACGCGCTCAATATCATTGTAAATCCATGTTTTGATGTTATTATTAGATTTAAAAAATTCCTCCTCTCTGTAAATTTTATAAATGTTAGTTTTGTGCATAAAGATATAGCAGCCTCTTAAATATCTTCTGTTTACAAGAAGAAAAAAATTTTCAGATAATTTCTCCTTCTAGCAATCACATGTCTGAAAACTAAATTCTCATTTTATACAAACAATTTATTTTATTCGATTAAAAAGTATTTCCCCCTCCCAAAAGTATAAGCTAGCATCACACTGATAGGGGTGAAACTTTCTGTATCATAAAAGTAAATACGAGGGTTGTAAATTAAATAGTGGCAACGTAACCTTGAAACTCACAAAAGGGCACGCATGCGTAAATAGGGTATGGGTGCGGTGAGGTGGCGCTGTTGTCGATGTGTAGAGTGCAAAAAACAGTCGATTTGCTTAGAAGGGTAGTTGTTGCGTGGCGTTTAAGTGAGGAGCTTCGTTTCCATCGCTTTAAAGCATGTTGTGAAAAGGCTTAATGACGAATAAAGACGAGATGCTTGAATCCATCGTGCTACTGTCCTATATGGTAAAGCATTTGCTCCAAAGGCTTCCACTAATCCTCGATAGCATTCTGTTGCATTTTTGCTACGGGCAACCTCGATTGTAAGCCACGACCGCTGATCACCTTTTGAAAACATGCTTTAGAGCGATGGAAACAAAACTCCTCACTTTAACGCCACACAACAACTACACTTCTAAGCTAATCGACTTTTTTTTTGCACTCTACACATCGACAACAGCCCCACCTCACAGCTCCCATATCTAATTTGCGCATGCCCGTCCTGCTGTGAGTTTAAAGGTTAAGTTGCCACTATTTAATTTACAAACCTCGTAAAATAGTAAAGATGGTTACTTAACCCCTTGACATACGAAGATGTCTTGGAGACGTCATTTGTTTCTTATGTCAAAACAATAATTGATGTGTCTCAGCGTCTTCATCACAGAGATGCCAACTTGCTCCGGACAGCAAATAAATACTTTTAAAGTGGTACTTTATCAATTGTAATTCTTGGTTTAATAAATTCAATTTAGTAGATTTTTATCCATCACTATTTCTAAATAATTCGTAGGCATATATAATTTACCACTTTATAGTAGTTATGTCATGCTATACCTTTTAAAACGCAAACAAAAATAGTCAAATATTTGCACAATTTAGTTTGTGTTTATTTACTGATTTTTTTTTTTTTTTTTTTTTTTAATAATTATTTTGACATGTCTGGAGCAGTTGGCATCAGTCAAAATTCCGTTGCGAGTTGTTGTTTACAGTGCAATCAAGGATTATTTCTATATCAAGAAATGATATGTCAAGTGGTTAAACTAATAGTCCATTAGTTCATACCAACATTGCCTGAAAATAAATGCCCAAAAAGTGTTACTTATAATGTTAAATAAAAATTTTGTTTCTTAAGTGTACAATAGTTTTTTTGTCTGTTTATATTCATAAAAACTTTTACAATTAACTTTCTCATTTTAAGATCTTACTGATGATCCATATGATTTTGCTGCCATTGACCCTGCTGAAAGTAAAGCATTAGAAAGTTCCTTATGGGAAATAAAAGTATGTGCTTTTTTTATGCAAAGTTTTTCAATAAAATTAATATATTTAATATTTTCTTGTTTCAGAAGTTTCTAATTTTATTAATTTTAACTATTTTGTATGCTGAGCTCTGAAGTGATTCAAATTTGGCTGGAGAAGTATTGTTAATATGTAATTTCTTATATGTAAACTTCTTCAGTCACAATAAAAAAGGGAAAGGAGAGAGTCGAGAAAAAATAAATTTTTCTTAAGCTACTATGAAGTTCAAAAAGCAGAGCTTGAAAAATATCTACACTTTTACTTGTTAGATTATCTTTTTCAAATCTATAATAAAGAAAACATATGAATGCAACTTTTCATTTGAAGAAACTTATTACAGATTATTTAAGTTAGGACTGGTGCCAGTTGAAAGAAGCTCATTTAAAGTAATTAATTGCAAGTGATAAAAGCCTAAATGCTCTCAACAAGATTATCAATAATTATTTTCAGTAGAAAAACTAAGTAGTTAAAGTACTTCTTGATCATTTTTTATAAAAAATTATATTTATGTGTAGAAATTTTTATTTTTTAACTATTCAACATTCCTTTATTTTGCTATATCTTTTAATTCGGAAGATCACTAGAAATAGAACAAAAAACATTTCAGTGACAGCCTCTGACTGTTTTTAGAGTGTGGCCGAACAATCCTAGTGGATTTGGCAATAAACAGTTACTGAGTAACTTCAGATAACTTTTCCTTTGGCCGCAAATTAAAATGTGTAATGTGAATGCCGTGACGCCATCAGATTGAATCAGTTTTGTGTATTTATAAATTACACCAATTAAAAGCAGCTTGTAAGCAAGGAGAAGTCAAGGCATAACTTTCATTTCTTACCGTTAGTGAATAAACTTTTAATGCTCGTTTCTTCAAATTCACTAAAAGATGCCACTTAGATCATATATCCACTCAGATATTCACTTCTACAGTTTATCTGCTAACATATGAGTAACTGTCAGCAAATTCATTCTGAAGGAATGTGTTACTTTTTTTTACTAATTATTAATTATTTTTAAAATTGCAACCTGATTTTTGTCTTTTCGGAATTTTTATTGCTCTTAAATAATAATTTTTTGAACTTAATTGAATTAAATTTTACGCAGTGGGGCTTTGAGCTCTCTTTGGAAAGTGCTGCTTTTCTGTTACTGGTGGCAGCTTGAAACCGCCTTATCCATTGGTACCAACTCGTCTGGAAAGTTAAGATAGTCGGTGCACAATGCTGACCACATAGCCACCATATTTTACTAACATTTTTCTTTCATAAAATTGGATAAAGTGTCATATATATTTGCTTATTATATATATTTTTCTCATATATATTTACTTCTTTCACGTTTGGTGATAGATACAACCTCAGAAAAAAATTTTATGAATTCATATAAACTTAACTATGTATATGTATAGATGCCGCAAAGTCAGGAGAATGTCTTCTTTCACCAGTGATTGTTAACAATCTCATTGCCGCTTTGGTGGAATATTCGTTATATCTGATTTGATATTAATTTATTCATTGATATTATATTTATTCGATATTTTAATATCTGCTGAGGAGGGATTAGGATAAACATTAGTGTTCGAAGTACCGGTTAAATGCATACTGCAGTGACACTTGACCTTTAAAAAAAACACATTGATATAGGACATACCGGGCAGTGGCACCTAACTAGACCTATTATATATTTCAGACATTTACCAAAGCAGCTGTGATTGTCAGCATTCACCGGTGGAAGTCAACAACCACCAATTTCGGTCATTCACAGTGATATATATATATGTATATAATCTTTCTCCTTTCAATTTTAATAATTGGAATGCTGCCTGAGAAAAGAAAATTATGTTTGTTTGCAAATTTTATTTTTATGTAATATTTAAAGCCGTATTTTCTGATTTTAAAATTAAATATTGAATTATCTTTCTTCTTTGGAAAATAAAGCTAAACTTTTGAATAAAAATTTACATTTTTTTTTACTTTTTAATAAATAAAAAAATATTTGAAAGTAAATTGAAAAATATGAGAAAGTGAAATTAGCAAGCATATTTAAACTGTTATAAACAGTGTTTTTACTGTTGCAACTGAGATTGAAATGTGATTTTAAAACATATCAATTCAATCTAAAAGGTAATGTTTGTTTTAGGCTTGACTGTCAATTTGATTATTGAGCTATAATTTGTTTTAAAATTATACTTTTTAATAGTTATATTCAATCAGTACTTCTTTTCTAATTGCATTTAGTTAGATTTCTTAAGTTCACTAGATGTACTTTATACTTTTCACCCTTGAGAATTATTTGGTTATTTAATAGCATGCTTAAAATTGAATAATAACTTATTTTGTTTTCAAATTTTCTTTAAGACACTCCAAAGTCATTATCATCCAGAAGTTTCTAGGAAGGCCAAGATTATTGATAAAGAACTGCCAAAACTTGAGTTAGATTTTACAAGTTCTCTAGATATATCAGAGGAAGATGTAAGTATATTTATATATTTTATTGTTTTTAAAAGTCAGTTTATTTAAGAAAAGGACAAAAGAAAAGAGTTTGTCAAAACTATAATGCAAGTATTTGTCAAAGAAACTTATGTAAAGAATTATTTACCTGTGGAATATATTTATATTATTTACTTAACTGTAGAAAAATATTTAAAATTATTATTAGGGAAAATTATTAAATCAACCTGAATAAAAATTGTATTTAGATTCAATGCTGTAGATAACTTTATTTAAAATAAGTAATTAGAATAAGCAGACTTGTGCATCCTTAAATCAATCGTATCTTCATTAACTTGTAAAGGTAATAAATTTCCCTTCTAAAAATAAAATCTAAACAATTCTTAATCTCTTAGAATCTCTTGGTCTTGTGAAACATGACACGGTCTGAATCATCTTAGTAAGATAACTAGATATGGTTGCATGCAAAATGTTATTCCAATACTTAAATTCAAAACTTTTTACAATTATGTAATCAAACTTTTTTCTGCAAAAAATAAATAATTTTGTTTTAGTGGGTAATTGATGTAAAACTACAGCTGTAATTTTTACCGTTTCATTTTAGATTATAATTTTCAAAAATAACATTTGAACTTTTAATGTTTAGACAGACAGTTGGGAACAAAAGTTTGAATATTAATATTGCCCTGTTACGGTTGGGTATAGAATAAAAATGAAAAAGTTGCAAAAATGATAACAATTTAGAAAGTAAAAAAATTAAAAATTAATGGCCGGGTGAAACATAGTTAGTGGTACATTTACGAAGTTTGGCTAACCCAGAAAAATAGTAAATTTTCTTCTTCAAAAATACGTTCCAGAAGATAACAAGTATATTCAAAAAACATACCTTCTTCTCCATAAAAAAGATATCCAGTTTAGGATGAAACAACCCGAAAAATCCTTGGCTAGTGAAAAAGGAATTAGTCCAGTTCTTTTTTTAAAAAAATCATTGTGGTTTTATTGGAGAAAACAAGTTAAACAAATCATTATGTTGAGGCACCTCAGGTAAGGAATCATCAATGGCCAATCCTAATATTGTGGTAACTAGTGATAACTGGAATAAGCAGGAGATATTCCTATCATGAAGTTAGAAAATGACTGTGAACGATTTCCATCACTGTCGGTGGCTGGTCAGAGGGTCATCTTAAAAAAGCTGGAGATTTATAAGCAGGAGAAATCTTTAGTAGGCATTAATCCGATTTATCAGGAACATTCTTTAGTAGGCATTCATCAGCGACAATGACAAGGACAGCAGATTTTTAACATGGCGGTAGATGAGTTATTTTCAGTGAACAAAGCCAAACATCAAATAAAGATGGCGCAAGGAAGCCATCCTTCGAAAAAAAAGGTTCTCCACCTTAGGGAGGTGGGAGCAAAAAAATATTAAAAAACTCCGTTAAGCGGAGGGCAGTTAGTTTTCAGAGAACATCAAATTATCGAAAGCTATTCGTCTTTCGCGCTCCTCCTTTTTATAAGATACAAAAACTGAAAGTTGAAGTTGTAGTGCATGTTGTGCAAGTTAAAGTTAAATTATCTAAAAATCACGAGTTGAGACGAAAAATTGATTATGCGTTAAAAGTTACGGTTGAGAAACACAACAAACACGCGGAGATGAAAGATGCCGACGACCAGTGGAATTCTCAGAAAAAAAAGGGTGGAAACTTCTCGAAAGAAAGGGGCTCTTTAAGGAGCTGGTAAGGAATTTTAGGGGGAGAATGTCCAAATTGCGCTACCGCTTAAGGGGCTAAAGAAATATGATGAAATAAAAAAATGTATTACAAAATTATAAATTAAGTCAAAAGAATTAGTATTATTGATTAAAAAACAGGATATTTATAAATTAGGCTGTGACCTAATGTCACAAATATGTTTTTCTGTTCTAACTTTTTCTGTTAGAAAAGTTTCTTAATGATGTAAATTAATTTATAGCTTTAGTCCTTCTACTTGGGAAGCAACTAATAATAGACTTGAAAATGATTAATTTAACAAACATTAGACAAGAATTTAAAAAACTGAAATCAGAAGTTTTGAGATAGTCTAACTCAATTCATGTTTCTAACTCAAGTCTTCTCAATTCATGTTTATACTTAACTTAATTGTATGTAATAATTTCTCTCACAAAAGTGCTTCTATAGCTCAGTGTTTAAAGTAGAGGAATTCCATGTAAAATGTGTGTGTTTGGATCCAATTCTTAACTTTTAAATAATGATTTTATTATTTTCTTTTTTATTTAGAGTATACAAACGGTTTTATACTTTCGATAACTTTGCGAAGATATGCGAATTAGCTTTACGTATTATGTTCCTAGTAAGTTTAAGAATATGCAATGCTTCATTTACTACGCTTGGAAATCAATCGGCTAGGTTGTTGCTGGTGAAATTAACTTACAGCCACGTCATTATATGCAAAACTCGTTTAATCCTTATGGCATTAGAGTTATATTTAAGTGAAAATATTGGTGTGAATTGTATCAGTTTCAGTATGAAGATATTGAAAAACACTACTTTTGCCTCTTGTCTTATGATTATTAAAGAAGCTGAGGAAATTAATTCATATTCTGCTATTGTCATCAAGAGTGGAATTCTATAATCAACTGTTAGTTACTAAGTAAGGAAATGGAAGGAAACATGTTAGAAGTGAAGCATGGACAAATAAATATTGGAAGATCCTTTAGATTGGTGAATACTAATTCTTCTTTTTTTCCTGGCCGATGTTTTATTTGTCGTCCAAAAGGCACCAGAATAGATCCTTGCTACTTACAGTGAAACACGGAAACTGATCAGACACACATCAATCACCTCTTTGTACACATCAATGGGACTATAGATCAATGTTTATAGAAACGCTTTTGACGTTCATGTGCTATTGTATGCTCATAAAAAAAAAGGTGTTTCTTGGATGGATTTTTCAGCAGTATACCGATCCTAAGCACACCGCCAACATTGTGACAAGTTGGTTTAAGGCTAAGAAGGTTAAAAATTTTAATTGGCCTGGGCAATCACATGGTCTGAATCCAATAGAACACTCTTTGGAATTCATTGAAAATAAGTCATGGAAGCATTCTTCAAATGCAGAACTCGTTCAGGATCTTTGTCCGAAATGGGCGAAAAATCCATTCAAAAAAGGCTTCTTAATTGCATGCCCAGACGGCCTGCTGCAATCATTAAAACAAAACGTTTGGAGAAATAGAATGATTGCAAAAAAATTTTTTGTTTCAATTATTCGAATTAAGAAATTTTGCTGCAAAAAAAGTTAGGGAACATGTAGGCCCCGGCAGATTTAACGTGCACCAGTCACCATTTACTACAAGGGGAGTCTTCGGCCAACTGAATTCGAACTCACATTCTCACAAACCTGACTCCCATTAATAAGGTTAAAGAAAAAGTTTTATTCAATTATTTTTATTTGCCAATTGATTCTTTTTATGCATAAAGCAATATTTTTATTTCATTTTTAACGTTGACATAATTTACATTTTTTATAGGTTTTTAGAAAAGAATTCAAACGAAGTTTCACTGAAGCACATACTTTGATAGAAAATGTTACAACTCAAAAAAATATGTTTGTTATATCTAATAAACATTTTAAATGTTAAAGTTTATGCTGTCAATTTTTTTTAATAAAAATATTGTAAAATAAAGTATTTTATTTATAAGAAGCTACTTTTTTTTATTTCCATTAACTTAGAATATGTATTTGTATTAAACATCTATCAGAGTCTTAGTTAAGCAATATAAGCTAATTTTGAAAAGAATTTCTCATTTTTAAAAAAGTTTAGCTGTTTTCAAGGCCATAAGGAAGTCCCAGGGCTTGATCAAATTTACTTACAAAAATGCTATGTTTTTAATAGGTTAATTTTAAAGGAAATGCTAGAAATTTCTGTATATTTGACATGTGCTTGGTACCTACCCAGTTACTTTACTTACTTGGACCTGATGTTTAGTTTCAAATGTTAGGCGGGTAATAATCATTTAAGTTCCACTCGACCATATTTAGTGACCTTAAAACTATTCATATGAATAATGAGTTTTGAAAATCTATGTATCATGTCAGTTTCTTAATATTCAAGCTAAAGTAACTAGTTCAGACACAACATATTTAACTCTTGAGTAGAATTTTAATTCAAGGAAATTCTAGTGAAGTGAGTACCTTTGAAACAGAGAAATATATTTACCTTAGAGAATTGCTTGGTTTGTTATAACCTGCAGTAAACAGAGTTAACTACTGCCAATTTTCAGCTCTGTAGCAATTTTTGCTGGCCTAGCAGTCGGTGTGCCTGACTGTGAAGCCTCTGGTTGTGGGTTCAAATTCCGCTCGGGGCATAGATGTTTCTCTCTGTTGTGTTAATGTGGCTGACGCTATAAACGGGTAACTGTTACAGTATAGCGTGGGTAAAGTTGCTCGCCTCCGTGATTTGGATTCACAGGCAGTGCCGTAACTTCACCCCTCGCCCTTTCGCTGAGGCCCTTTCAAAAACTTTCACTACTCCATCTCTAATCGTCATTTTAGCTATTTATGTATTATGTTAGCGAATATGTTTATGAAAACAAGTTATTTGTTCGCATATAAACTGGATAACAAAACATTGTAAGTTTTCCACATGGCAAAATACAAAATTTCAGCGAAATCGATTAATCCTGAGAAATTAAATTTTAAAAAAGTCGTACTTATAAAACTCAATTTCTCAAGAACTAATCAAGCAATTTCGCTCAAATTTTGTATTTTCCATGTGGAATTAGATACTTTAAAATGATAAAAAAAAAAAAAATATGCCTTGCGATTCAAACGTTTTCAGACTATTATTGTCCCGTAGTGGACTGATCGTTAAGACACGGTTCCCAGCAGATCACCGAAGTCAATCCTCACGGCTGCTGTCAGTGTGCGGGTGTGTGATCACTTGGATCAGTCTGCGCAGGGACCGAGGGTGTGGTATTGGTCCTCGTTAAACTGTTCTACCATAAAATGCTCGACTTAGGCGTGCAGGTCGCCAGGCTACCGGAGCGAGGGTGCCATTCCCTCTTCAGAGGATCAAACCTCAAGGGATGTTTCCCAGACCGTCGCCAATAGCCTATTGTGCAGCACTAGTGCGACGTAAATGATCAACATCAGACTATTATTAAATAANATGATGACAGTTGTCAAACTATTCCTCTCCTGGCTTTACCAGGAGTTGTACTCATACCTGGTCAAACATTGCCACTTCAACTCTTCAATCCTTCTACTATAGAAATGATGATCCATGTTATCAATTCTGATCGGACATTTGGATTAATAAATTCTAGGTAAAATTACTTTTGTGTACTTTTTTTATACATTCTATATTATATTTATCTATATATTATTTCTTTTTTGTATTGGCAATAAAGAACTGAAATATCTCGCATGGGTACAGTCATAAGCCTGAAACATAAAAACAAACAAATATGAAAATTATATATAAAAGCAAATAAATATTGAATAAAAAAGACACTTTTGAATAATAACATCGAATGTAAGCATAAATACTGTCCATTTCGACATTCCTTCTCAATTAAAGTACTGATTTTGAGTCCTGTTTTTAAATTATTATTTCAATGTATCAGTTTTAAAACTGATATTGTTTGAATGGTGACAGTCCAATTGTAAAATTGATTTTTAAATTGCATAGAGGGGAATGCTATTGATGTAATAGGGTGTGTAGCGTTTTTAAAAGTACTTAAAGGTGCTTATTTTCGATCTTCGTTTTTTAAAAGCCCTTAAAGGTGCTTTTTTCATTGTGTTTTTAAAAAGTGCTTAATTTTACCTTTTCCAAATTGAGATTTTTCCTTTACCATGTTGATTTTCGCTGCGAATTATGCAGAAAAACCCTGTTCACATTGTTCTATTCAAGGTTTTCACAATTAATTTAACCCCAATCTATTTTGGTCCATCGTCAGTTCGTAGCATATGATAGGTCATTCGATTTACATAATTCAAAAATTTTGACAATTGTCAAAACCAATGCCAAAAGAAAATTTTTTTTGACATTACGGTTAAAACCAGATAAAACCGTCAATTGTCAAAAACTTTCCAACCCTGCCTAATTATGATATTTTTTTAAGTGCTTAAAAATATTTTTTGAGTGCTTTAAAGGTGCTTATTTTTTGTTGAATAATTTGGCTGCGCACTCTGACTTGGTAACTGCCCAGATAACTTTACTACCGCTTGCTTGGATCTGTTGTTTAGTTTCAAATGTTAGGGGAGTAGTAATCATTTCTGTTCCATTCGACCGTATTTAGATTTTCTTAAAACTATTCATAAGAATAATGAGTTTTGAAAATCTACGTATCGTGTCAGCTTCTTAATAATCAAGCTAAAGCAACTAGTTCAGACACAACATATTTAACTCTTGAGTAGAATTGTAATTCAAGGAAATCTTAGTGAAGTGAACACCTTTGAAACAGAGAAATATATTTACCTTAAGAGAGGTGCTTGGTTTGTTATAACCTGCAGTAAACAGCCGACCCAATTCAGAGTTTACTACTGCCAATTCTCAGCTCTGTAGCAATTTTTACCGGCCTAGCTGTCGGTTCAAATTCCGCTCAGGGCATAGATGTTTCTCTCTGTTGTGTGAATGTGGCCCACCTCCTTGACTAAGGTTCACCAAGTAAACAAATGAGCAGCACTTACGGCATCTTCTGAAATGAAGAACAAATGTTCGGTGCTTGCCGTAGAGAGAAAAAAATCATTGTAGTTTTAAACTCAGCCCAGAAGACGAGATCTCCTGAATCAAATATTTTATAACCGTCGCTGAACAGCTGACTTAATTTTTTGAATGTTCAACTCCATAGCCTTGTAATTTTAAGCACAATCCAGAAGACAAAGGAACTCCTGAATCAAGTATTGGGAGAAATTCACCTTCAATAAGGACTTTTTTGATGGAATTAGTCCTCATTTGCGTTACACAGTGAAAAAAAACTTCCCCGGTTAGCCTTACGGCAAGGTGATTCTAACCCATGATCTATCTACCACTGAGAATATTTTATGTCAGCATTGCGGAATTTATTTCGAACAGACATGTCTGGTATTCGAAACTGGTTCACCTCATTAGAAGGCGATCGCTCTATCTCCGAAGCCACCACGTCTCTGAGTTAAATATGGAAGACTTTTTGATAGAAATAACCCGCATTTGCGTTACGTGTAGAGGAAAACCTCCAGTTAGAACATCAAGGTGACTCTGACCCGTGATGATCTGTCTACCTCTAAGGGATATTGTACGTCGGCACTGTATGAATTCTGCACTGGTCGGAATTCATCGCTGGGTCGCCTCATTTTATTTTATTTTATAACCGTCGTTGAACAGCATTCATGGGTTTACGACTACTTACGTTCAACTCCGTAGCCTTGTAATTTTGAACCAATCCAGAAGACAAGGAAACTCCTGGATCAGTACCCCCAGAGGTATTGATTTGTTGTGGGAACATGGAGGACTTTGAGACTCGACAGATTTAACGTGCATCAGTCACCATTTACTACACGGGGAGTCTTCGGCCGGCGAGGATCGAACCCACGACCTCTTGGATATGGGCCCCTCATTAGGAGGAGAGCTCTCTATACCCCAAACTCCGTGAAAATGGCTACTTTCAATATTACACGTGGTTTTGCTTGGGTTTTATTATCACGCCGAATCAATTTTCGGATTAGATTTAATGGCTGTTTGCAACAAACGCCGTTCGTGGAGACTTTTTAACTATTATGAAAATAGAAAAACAAAAATCTGCCTCTTCAAAGAAAGTTAGTCTTTTACGAATAACCGATGAAAAAAGATATTCGTTTTTACGCCTTTTCCGATCAATGCAAACGTGATTTAAAATTACATTCACATGATTATAATCAAGCGTTGCAATTCCTAACGTGTTTCGTATTTTCACAATTTTGCATCAAATATCGCGTTTTGTAACCAGGAGATAAAAATGCCGCTTTTATGATTCGTGTTCAAATACCCAACCGGGTAATAAATCCGATTTTTTTCCGGGTACAAACGAACTGGTAACAGATCCAATTTTCACAGGATACCCGGACTTGGCAAAATTTTAAGACTTGGTACATCTCTATCTACACAAAAACTACAATTTTGAATAAAAGGGCCGTGTTGGCTCAGGGGATAGAGCATTAGCCTTCCGTATTTCTCTCAAAGAAAAAAAATCTTTGGTTAGTTTTATCCAAAGAAAAAGTTTTACTTAACTTTAACAATAAAAACGGAAACAACAAAACGCTTGCTGATAACCATTGACACATCAACTGCATTAGATTTTTAAAAAATAAAATGTCTAACAACTATTTTATTTTATTGTAACTGTCCAATTTTTTGAAAACTAGTGATATATTTCTCACCGATTAGTTTTGCAATTAGCATGTGTGCTACATTATAATTATTGTGAAACGCGGCCGTCTCTCGAAGCTCTGGCATTACAGTGGGCTAGTCTTGTTATTTACAGTAAGAAATTCTTATTTAAAACTGCGCTGGGAGACTTTTAAAATATAAAAATATGCCTTTTTGTTATTTATATATATTTGTGGCAAATTAAGCGCTGGAAAAATTTTTAGACGTTAAAATCTTTAAAAGGGCACTTTCTCT